GACGTTCTTATTGTGTTTTTCGGAGCTTGCTGCAACTGGTTGTTGCAATTCCCTACATTACATTTTAAAAGCAATAAATTTGAAGAATTACAATGTCAAGGGGTTGTGAAATGCACTCTAAAAATACAAGTCTTTGTTCACTTTCCCAATCATACCCTCACCACCAGCACTGATAGCAAGAATTAATTGAGATGTGACAATCGTGCAAGATATTTCTACTTGAGCTGTCTTCAGGACTGCAGAGTCCATGTTATCAGGCACAGAATTCACTGGACAGCTTCAATGTTTTATTTGTTCCTGTGGCAAGTAATTTCAACCTAATCATTCTGCCAAAACAATATTTTATCTCTATGCTGTATACTCCTGGTTTCCGTTTCACAGCCTTCTTTACAGACTTTTCAGTGAAATCCCTCATGTGAAATCTCAATTGAAAAATATTCCCACCTTAACCAAGCCAGTTGGTAAAATCCCTACCAAATGAATGTACTAATAATCAAGAATTAAACTAAAGTTCTTTGCATCCATAACTATGCATTTGTCAATAGACCGCCACTCTCAGCGGTGTGTCAATGGGCAGCCTATGGTGACAACACTTGTCAAGTATTAAAGCTTCAGCAGATTATACATTGCAACGGCCAGCGATCCTGTTCAACACCTTTTCGCTCATTACCATATATGCCAGTATACAGGTTTGTTTGTTAACAAGTAGGTACAGCCCAAGTTCATTGAAAATCTTATAAACAGTGCTTATTGATATACAAGATCAGCAAAAGTTTCAAACTCTGCCATCACGGAATGTTTTCATTCCTCACATGAAAATAAGATGTACTTAAGGCTGCTTCAAATACTCCAAACATGTGGTGTGGAAAATTTACTGGCTTTCTGCAGTCCCACCCTATAACCAACTCTGCTTCTCACAAAACACACAATCTTACGTCTGTCTTTAGCTCCAAGCTACTAATTATATTAAAGCTTAGAATTAGACAAAATGCAACCAGCTCCTTCACACACACTCCATTTAGAATCACAAAAAAAGGCATCCTTCATGAAACGCATGATGAAAGTTCAGGCAGAAAATACTCGAGGAATTAAGTCAATGAAAATGTGATGTGTTGGACTTAGAACAGTGAGACTGCCTAGTGTATCAGAGCACTGGGGACAGGAACAGAGAAAGAATGCGAAACATACAAACAGATTACACCATCAGTGACTTTTCCAATGGTATCACTCCTATAAACCACACCTCACTAAGAACAAATGAATGTTGTGGGAATAGCAATAAGATTGGGGACTGTGTAATATTGTAAGATCATAACATATAGGAGAAGAATTAGGCCATTTGCCCGTCAAGTCTGCTTTGCCATTTGATCAGGCTTAGATTAGAAACAACATGGAATTTATGATCGCTGTGAGTAAATGAAAATACAGACTGGCTCCAACAAATCATCTCAAGCTGAAACTTGTATCTTTTTTCACTTGCTTGGGCCCATACATTTTCTGGCATATAAAAGTAAATTAGTTCCTTGTTAGTTGCTGTGGGATAAGAACTCTTTCCTCTATTGTCTGTGCAATGAAAATAGCCTCACAACTCCCTCAGGAACTATAAGGAAGGATAGGTACCACACCTTTGTATGCTGCTGACAAGGAGCAAATACGGCCATTTGCACCACTTTAGACAAAAAAAAACCAGAAAACAAACATCCTGAATAATGCTGCAAAATGCCAGAGCTCCACCAAAAAACAAATTAGCCCTTTTACTTCTGCAAATGAGGTGTGTTTGTGTGCACCTGAACAAACATGCCAAACTCTGGGCCCACAGATCCAGGAATTATTCTCAACATTACAAAGAGTGTTACTATGTACCAGAGATATAAAACAAAAGCCACAGCTCAATCTT